CTTGCTCGAGGGACACCGGGCAGAACATTCCTTTCGTTCAGAGCTTTCGTGAAGAAGTCTGACCATCTCGTTGGCGGCCGTCCTGGTGCTCGCTTGACGTCCCGAGGAATCCAGCCCCTAACCGCCGTGGTGCATCACTATGTTGCATGACGTGCCCGGCCCTTCTGAAAATCAGATGGGCCGGGCACGTCCGATTTATAATAGCAATATAGAAATATTCGATCCATATTGCGATAGCTGACGTCCTATCACGGATTTCCAATCTATTCTGGATAATGACACACGTTGTAATGCAGGTTGTTGGACAGAATAACTGGGGAAAAAAGCAGTTACACCAAGGAAAAAGTTGATGAAAAATTGTAGCTGCGAAGGAAAGTAGCAGCTGGATGTTCTGTGCGGCTGTAGCATCAGGTCCAAGTACAGAAGATTAGTCAGAGACCTCGAACCGTCAGTTTCAATACAAGCTCTCAGAAAACAAGGGAATGGAAAGAATGGGAGGGATTATCGGAAAAACAGCAGGATCCCCTTTTTTAGGTACTCATCGTTCGAGACGAAACCTAAGTTACTGAATCCCAAAGATCTAGAAGCGGGTTCAGTCCTTCGACGACACCATAATGGCGGGTCCACATCACCTTTTTGTTCCCATTCCATAACATTTGTCGGATGTTTACTTTTGTCATAGTTTCAAAGGCTGGTAATATAAACAAATTGTTCGTGTTTCCCAGCCTTTAAAACTAATTCTTTTTTTTATTCTGTCATTGTATGATTACTCAAGTATGAGACTTTGTTTTGAAGCCAACCGTCTGGCCGCACTTATACGAGACTCTCAGCTTTTCATCTTTTTTTACCGCCGTTCGAATGACAGGGGTCGGACAGGGGTCGTCCACACATCGTTTCTCCTAAGATTGTTTCAAGAATATTAGGTTGATGCATAATTATTGCTGATTTTTTCACGGTTTTCTTTTCTCTTGATAGAATTTGAATTTTGAGTTCGGATTTTTCAGAAATGATCTGCTTGATTTCCTCTACAGAAATGTACTTAGAAAACCCATCCGCATATTAACGTAATCAGGCTCTNCTACTTCGAGAAAGGTTGGAAGGTTGCAGAGTCATTCCGCGATCTCACCATCAGTTACTTTTCGGCTATGGAACAACCAGCCAAAGCCAACAAGAAATGGGATCTGCTCCTAAATCTGCCATATTCACCAGCAGAAACTTCTATGGATTATCTCGTCAACCGTTCGCTGAAAAAATGGCTAGGGAATAGAACTTGCGGCGATATGGATGACTTAATGGCCGATGCCAAGGCGTGGATCGCTTCCAAGGATCAAAACGTCTTCGGTTTTGGAAACCGACTACCTGTCCAATGGGAAGTTGTGCTTGACGTAGATGGTGGATAAGTTTCGGAGTAATCATTTGAACATGATTTTGTTCAGCATTTTTATCATTTCATTAAATAAAGTTTGTTGAAAAAGTCGCAATAATTATGCATAAACCTAATATTTTTTTTAAACAATCGGAGTTGGAAGGACTGGAAGAAATCAAATAGCATTCGTTGTTTATCTGGCAAATTGACCAAGTTCTGGCAAAATGACCAAGTCACTCGCAAATTCTCAAAGTTGGATGGCACAGGAGTGAAAGCCAAGAAGACAGCGAGAATGTTGTAAGTGAGGATTGCCAGAAGTTGTTCGTGGCAACGTTTGTGACAGGGCAGCGAGTGATGGATATGTTTGAGCAGAGCACAGCTTATGTGATTAGCCTAGTGCGAGGCCGAGTTTTTCTAGAAAAAATACTGGAGTAATGATTGGAAATCTGCAAAACAAAGCAGATTAATGTGCAATCCCGAGGAAAATCACGCAATCATGCTGCTCTGTGATCGCTCACGATAGCAAACCTTCACGAAAGGGGTGATTACATTGCAATAGCAGTAATGTAGACGCTTTAAGCATTTCACATCATATATTCATTCGTTGAGTATTGTGTGTTGCTTAACAGTCCATACAGAGTGATTTAATAACCTTCAAGCCATTACCATGATCAAAGTCAATAAATATTTAATATTACGGATTATTTATTTGTTCATACAAGGGCGCAAATGAAGCACACGTAGAGCTCTGAACAACATCGAAAAATCCAAGGCAAAATCTCGTGCGAATCTAGACTTACCGTATTCCCCTATTGCTCCACGCCAGATTTAATCGTAGAAGGTTGTGATCAGATTACGGTAATAGTTCGGTTCCAAATCGAACTTCTGTTGCGAGTTTGCAATTGTAGAAAGCGGTCAGATCGGCAGCCTTTTTTTCAGATATTTATGACCCTCACTGTTCCATTCTGAAGGCACATTCACAAAAAAATGGTTTCTGGGTTCTACCCCTGGGAATACCCAGTAGCCCCTAACGTCAACAGGAAGGACTAAACTAATCAGTTAGGGCATAGTGGGAGCCCGTTACCGGATCGTCCGGGCTTCCCGCCCCTCGACCGACGGCACTTCGCACGAGCGTCGAGGCGATACAGATTGCAACATTCGTTCTAAAACCCACACACAATCAGTTGGTCACCGAGTGATGAGGCGACGTTTTTCGCCCACTCCTTTATTCTCTTTTATTTTTTTTTTGCTGCTGCGACTCTTATTCAAATTTTCTACCTCAAAAGGCTAAAAAAGGTGGGCTATCTTGCTGTTACTGGGTTTTTTGTTGACTTATGCTTATGAATGAATGCATTTTTGCATACCGTAGTCAGCTATTCGCACCAGGACCCACACGTACTCAATGAGACACCTTCTATAGCTTGCACAAGCGCCCCATTCATCTTCATTTTCTAGTCTCGTTCTCTTTCGGCTCCCTCTTTAAGGATTTTTCAAAGCTTTTCCGCTTCGAAAACACTGATTCACGCAGTTTCTACGCCTTATTTGCACTATTTCCCATCTTCACTTCCATTTTTCGTCATAATCTGTATTACCCAGAATTATCGTGACCTGTGCCTTTAACATGTTGTGAAAATGCTTGGCTCCTACATACATTCCCATAATTTAAGGCACTTGAGAGTTGGAGGAACCCAATTCTTCTTTTCTCTCCAGTTCCCAACATTTTACAGCAGTGTTAACATTAATATATTATAACCTTTATTAGAAAATAAATTCTCATTACAATACAATAATCTGTACATCCCGTATGACAAAGATATCTATCTTCGCAAAAAAATAACCCGCAATTTGTACGCACATAGCTTATAATAGCACTAGTCTTCGATCGGTGAGTAGTTTCGTGAAAAGACTTAATACAAGGAGCTCAACATAATAGCCATCGCAGATCTAAACTGTGTCCGCAAGACGTAACAATTGAGCGCTGCGACAGTGAAGCGGCTCATATGCTCAATCATACAGGCTTACAGAAACACTGTCTGGGCGTTGACTATAATGGCGGTTTCCTGGTGATATCAGAAAGTTGTGAACTCTGGTGATATGTTCCTTATGGCCACTGAGCATGAATCTACACTTCGTCGTAAGTTCGTCCACGGTCCACATTGGAATCAGCTGATCTTTGGGTGATGAAATCTGGCACAGGGACGATGACTTTCCGGAATCCTGGCCCGAGAAGAGGATTCGAGCGGGCCCACATCGAAGGCACCATCGTGGCTCGTGGATTTGGCCGAATAAGCACCAACGCACACAGCAAATAGATCAACACCGAACAACTGAAAATAAAACTGTTAATGAAAAGGAAAATTTCATATTAAACCTCTTCACAATGTTGACATTAATGCCTTGGGACTGAATGGACCTCTCAGTACTTGAGCTTGAACTTTAAGACTGAATAAGCCCTACGGTAGCTCCAAGTCGCTATCAAGTCGGATCGATCTCCCGTATTTATGCTCTTGCCATAACTACAACTCGGTTCGTTTCGAGTAAGCCCTGTGAGAATCCTACGAAGTGATCCTCCTTTTCCTTTTTCAGAATAAAGAAGCCTTCAAAAAAACAGCAGCCCTAGGATATGGCGGTCAGGCTTCTTTGCAATTAAGGGCCCTAGAGAAGCACACACAATTCAGCCTCAGAGCGACTACTACCATGAGCGAGTTTTGGGAAAACCTGTAAGTAGGAAGCTGTTCCTCACCTTGTCACCAAACATCCGACCAGAAACCATAATACACTGCTACGGAACAGCAACGAACATCGTGCGGTTGGGGTGTATTGAGAGAGCGCTTAAAGGCCAAGGACATAATTATTACTTGATGAATTCATGATTATATAGATTTTCATCTAATAACACTCTGCTAACACCAAATCTATACAGGCGAGACGTCAGTAACCGACTTACTGTTTCGATTCGCAGTCTGTTTCGAATCGATCACAACTCGGCTTGAAGTTCGAGCAGC